GCGGAAGACGACGCTGAAGATCAGGTTGTTCGAGAGATCGAAGTCTTCTTCACTCCGGCCACTGATACCAACGCACAGGTAATTTCAATATATGGGAATATATTTATATTCATGTATCTATCATTTTGTTGCCATTTCCAAAATCTGACTTCAATCTCTCTCTCTCTTTACATATATATATATATGTTTGTATATCTAACTTTCAATACAAAATCTGACTTCAATCTCTCTCTCTCAATTCAATGATTCCAATTTCTCCATGGTCGAAGATGACATTTACAGATCCGGCTTGAGAGTTAGCAGTTGCAGAGAGAGAGAGGTGGGCAAGCTTGAGAGTTGAGAGACAGTGGCTGAAACTTGCGAACGGCAAACCCGAACTAGAACAGCGGGCGATTGAAACTGAAATATATGGGCTTTGATTTTTTGAAGAAATGAAAACAGTCTCTAGTGTTCCTTGGCTGGCACGTGGAGACTTCAATGTTATTACTTCATGCCAAGAGAAGTTTGGAGGCTCTAATACAAGGTCGCCTGCCATTGTTGAATTTAATGAATATTTTGCGGACTCTATGTTGGATGATCTGAGATACTCTGGTTTTCAGTTTACATGGAACAACAAAAGTGTGGGATGTGCTAATATCGCCAAGAAACTTGATAGAGCTCTCATTAATGAATTCTGGTCTAATGTTTTTCCCAGATTTGACTGCACATTTCTGCCACCTGGAATCTCTGACCACTATCCTATTCTTATCAAGCTTGGAGCACCTATCCAGAACAAGAAACTGCCATTTAGATACTTCAATGTTTGGAGCACCAGTCCATACTTTATGCCATCTGTGGAGCAGGTCTGGAACTCACCTATTGAAGGCTCAGTTATGTTCCAAATTGTGCAAAAACTAAAGATACTTAAAAGGATTCTTAAGCAGAGGTGCAAAATGGAAATCTCCCACTCCTCTGCACTGGTTTCACAGGCTAGGCAGTCTTTAACTTCTTGCCAACAACAACTTGACACTAATCCTAGGGATGAAAGACTTAAGCTCCAGGAGAAGAACCAAATGCAGCAGCTTACCTCACTTTCACTTAATGAAGAGCAATTCATTCAACAAAAGTCAAGAGTGAATTGGCTGAAAGATGTGGACAGTAATTCAGCTTTTTTTTTCAAGGTGTTCAACTATAAAATCAATAGAAGAAAGATTACCTATTTGGCAACAGCAGATGGTACCTCCATTGACCAAGAGAACATGGTTAATGCTAAAATTGTTTCCCATTTCAAGTCTCTCTTGGGATCATCCCCATATTCATACCCTGGAATCTCCCATTTACAGCCATTTATCACTAGGACTATCCCACTTCATCTTCATGCTATACTCGTGTCTATTCCCACTGAAGTGGAAATTCAGGCATGTTTTCTTTCTCTTAACAAAGGGAAATCGCCAGGTCCAGACGGCTATAATGCTCACTTCTTCCATAAAGCCTGGCCCATCATTAGGAGTGATATCATTGTTGGGATTAAATCTTTCTTCCTAAGTGGGAGGCTACTTAAGGAAATTAATAATTCCTACATTGCTCTTGTTCCTAAAGTGCCCAATCCATCATCTCTTAACGATTTTCGACCTATCTCATGTTGTAACACTATCTACAAATGTATTGCTAAACTTATTGCTAATAGGCTTAAACAGATCTTACCTAGCATTATCGACCCTTACCAAAATGCATTTGTTAAAGGTAGACATATTGGGGATAGTGTTCTACTGGCTCAGGAGCTCTTTCAGGGGTATCATAAGCATCTTGTTCCCTCTAGGTGTGCCATCAAACTAGACCTGTAATACCCCGATATTTTAAAAAGGATTAAAAAGGATTTATTAATTAAATTAATTTATATTATATTATTATTATTTTTATTTTTAAATGATTTGTTTTATTTACTTAGGTGCTTGATAGTTGTGATTTGTTTTATTTAATTAAGTGCGTAGGTAAATTGTATTGTTTTAATTAAATTATATTTTGTAATTTTATTTGTTAAATTTATACGGTGTTTGATTTGTGGAATGCTAGTTAGTGAATTGTTTATTTGATTTGCGTGATTTTATGTTGGTGTAACTTTATTTAATGTCATTATTTTAGGTATTTAAGTTATTTGTATTGGGATTAAAGGAAGTTGGACCAACGGATGTGGTATTGGGCTTGAAGGAAGCCTTGTTGGGTTAATTGGTAAAGGCCCGTGGTTGTGAGGATATTTAATAATTATCTTTGCATAATTATACCTATATAATTACATGTGTATATTAATTCATTATTAAATCATGTGGAGGGGTATATATGTCAATATAATTATATATTGATATACATAGGTATATATAATTTATTTAACTAATGGTTATATAGGGAAGGTAATATATATATGTTTATAGTAAAATATATGTATGTATATATATTACTTAAAGGATAAATATTATTTATTTTATATGATAATCCTAATGGGAAAAGGATTTATATATGGAAGGTAATATATAAATGTTTATAGTAAAATATATGTATGTACATATATTATTTAAAGGATAAATATTATTTATTTTATATGATAATCCTAATGGGAAAAGGATTTAGTTTTTGTATGTATATAAATAGACACATAAGACTCTAGGGTTAGGAGTTTTTCCACGTTAGAAAAATAAGAGAATTAGAGAGAGAAGAAGAAGGGCTAACGAAGAGGAGGCCGGATCAAAGAACGTAAGAGGAGACCGGATTTGAAAAAGAAAAGGCGAGTTCTTCTATACTTCTCCTCTTAGAATTCATAAACTTATCACCTTGATTATCGAAATTATAATTTTATTTTATTAAATTAAATTATTATTCAGATTGGAGGAGCATATTTATTCTTTACAAAACTATAGAATTAAACATGTGAATATATGTATGCATTGTTCTGATAATTTAGATCTTGTAAATGAGGTTAGGTTAATTAAATTTTATTTTTTTAAAATTTTTATATTTTGCGTTAACCTTGTGTAGCACGATTAATTAAATTAAATGGATTTTAATTTAATTGTATATGTTCATTTATGCCCAACATTGATAAATTAAGCTTTTAGGATTTTTTCTAGAATTTCGTGAATTTGTTTATTTTATTTTTAATTATTGTTTAGAATTATTTTGGAAAAGAAAAGGAAAAAAAAAAGAAAATAAAAATAACAATCAAACACACTGGAAGGGTAGCAGTAAATCGGCGTACTAAGGGGTAGGATCCAATGCGGCGCGGTCCATTATATTAAGGTGTACCGCGAATCAGCACCATGGATGGGGCTTTAACCAAGGGAGCTGATCCAGTGCATCGCGGCTCACCAAAACACGGAGGACAGCCAATGAGGGGCTGCCAACACGCGCCGAGAGTGTGGAGGGCGCGTGAGGGCGCGTGGACGCGCCTGCCAGTGGGTTCTTGCGCGTGGGGGCGCATGCAGCAAGTGAAGGTGCTTGGGGCGGCGCGTGAGGGCGCGTGGGGATGCGTGTGATGTTCCGGAAGGTTCCAGTGGGGTCCGGTAATGTTCCAGGATTGATTTCAAGCTGGTTAATTTTGAAATTAATCATTAGATGATGTATTTTAGATGTTTGAGGGTTGTCGGATGCTACTACGCTATTTAATTGCATCTATTTGGCGTGATTATAATTAATTAATAATTTGGTTGGATATATTTGTTATATATATGTTTGAGGGTGTACATATATATTTGATATATATATGTAACGTATGGATTAATTAATATATGATTATATATACACACACACACACACACATATAAATATATATATTATTTAAGAGTATCTGGATTGATTGATTACTAAATTAAGGTTATGCGTGTAAGATGCATAAGATATCTACGTATGAATTAACTTCTTGTTACGTTTAAGGTTGGTACATGGTTGAATTGTACGCATGGATGAATTGCCAAAGGCTTCAATATACTACCTTATTAAATATGAATAAATTTTCATATATGGGAAGCATGGTTGAGTTGCTAAGTAATGGTGTAAGTCAATATACTTAAGAAAGCATGGTTGAATTGCTAGTATATATAAATAGATATATTTATAAATGGCATGGTTGATTTGTCAGTGCATAATTAAACTGTTATGTGCTTAGATGACTAAACTTTCATCTAAGGTTATTGTTTGTATAGGTTGGATTATGACTAGAATAATCTAGTACATACAGGTTGGTGTATTATTTTATATATGATAACAAAATAATAATGGTGGAGACATGGATGATTTGTCAAAGCTTAAATGCTAGATATGTGATTTAAATGATCAAAAGTATTATTGGGTTTTGGATTTATGGAATTTTTCCTTAAATTGTAAGTTATTGTTTAAATGACTAAATTACTGTTTAGGATGGAGTTAAGTTGAGTGGGGTTTACTTTATGAGAAAATTATAAAAAGTGGGGTTTTGACAATTTAATGCCCTATTAACAGATAGGATTCTTGTACTATATATATAAGTATTTATATATATTTGTAGCATCATATATTAAAGTTAAAGCTTAATTAGGGATGGTTTTGGTAAAGATGATCTGTTTATTGGTTTTCAGAGGCTTGGTAGAGAAAACTTGCTCGTAGGGTTTAACCCGCGATTTATTTTTCAGGTTGTAGAAGGTCAAGTCTCAAGGTTGAGGATCCGCAGCTGGAGGACTTATCCATTCCTTCTATTTACTTAAAAGTAGGATATTAGTTTTGTTTCAGTTGATATTAGTACTTAATTGGTTGAAAATTCTAAATAGTAACTTTTGGTTAAGGGGTCCTTGAGTTACGGGATTCCCGAGTTGTAACCATTTGGAAGTTATTAATGGATTTACTATTAATTGGATTTCTTCAGCGTTTTATTTTATTCTTTATTTCATTTTGTAATCCGTGCTTGTTTAAATACTTTAATTGGTTTGATATCCCCTGATTTTGTGCGCGGACTTGATCAACCCGTGTTCCGAAATTAGGGGGTATTACAAGACCTAATGAAGGCATTTGACTCTGTTGGCTGGGAGTTCCTACTTAATTCCCTTATCCTATTTGGGTTTCCATCTTTGTTCTTGGGTTGGATAAAAGCTTGCATCACCTCCCCAGCTTTCACCATTTCTGTTAATGGAGAATTTCAGGGCATTTTCCTGGGGTAAGAGGGCTCAGACAGGGGGATCCCATCTCACCACTCCTCTTCACCATTATTATGGAGGTCTTCACTGCCACTGTAAAGTAACACATCTCTGAAAGTCCCTCTTTCAAGTTTCATTCCAGGTGCAGGAACTTAGCCATCTCACATCTCATATTTGCTGATGATCTACTACTTTTCTCTCATGGTGATCTTGGTTCTATAAGCACACTCAAGAATGCCATTGATAATTTTGCGGCACTGTCTGGACTCTCCATCAACCACAGCAAAAGTAATTTCTTTATTGCAGGGATTAACAATATCCAAGTAGAGAGCATCAAGAATCTACTAGGGTTTGAATGTGGGATATTACCTTTTAAATATCTTGGAGTCCCTCTGGTTTCTTCTTCCTTAAAATCTGCTGATTGTCGTGGACTGGTAGAGAAAGTGACTAGGAGAATTAATCACTGGTCTTCCAAATTTCTCTCCTATGCGGGCCGTCTCCAATTGATCCAATCAGTTCTCTACAGCATAGTTAATTACTGGCTTAGCCTCTTTATCCTACCTAAGGCTGTCCTTGCAGAGATTAATAACCTGTTGAGGAACTTTTTTATGGTCTGGGAATGATCTTAAGTTCACTGGAGCCAAGAACAACTGGCCTGCTGTTTGCCAACCCAAGAGTTGTGGAGGTTTGGGGTTCAAGAATCTGGAAATTGCTAACAGGGCAGCATGCCTTAAGCACATTTGGACAATCATCTCTACAGATAGGAAGAATCTATGAGTTCATTGGGTGAGAACGCAACTTATTAGGGGGAGATGTTTTTGGACCATCAACACTCAACAGAACTCATCTAGCAATTGGAAAAGATTATTGCAACTCAGGGGAGCTGCTAGGTCTATGGTTAAGAAGAGGGTAGGTAATGGTGCACAAACCTTCTTCTTGGATGATAACTAGCTTCAGGATGGGCCTTTAGCCTTTCGAGCATCGGCGGACTTCATTAGGGACTCTTTTATACCCCATGAGCAGAAGTTGTCGTCTCTAACAAATTTTAACACTTGGGACTTCCCTCCAGCCATGATTCAGCATTTCCCGGATCTTTTGCTTATTGATCCACCAACTCAATCCTTAGACATTGATGTTTGGCTCCCTTCATCCACAAGGAAATTCTCACTCTGCCATACAGTGGAATGGCTTGCCCCGCACTATCAACCCAAAGTGTGGTATCACCTGGTTTGGAATTCTTTTTTTATTTCGCGATGCAAATTTACACTGTGGCTTGTAGTTCAAGGTCGCCTCTCCACCTACGACCGCCGATGTATGCAATCTTTTAATGAAGCTAGGCTTTGCCGCCTCTGCCAAACAAATGAGGAGTCTCACGACCATTTGTTCTTCACATGCTCCTTCACGAAGCCAATTTGGTCCTTCCTGCAACATAAATGTAGATTTTGTGTAATACCCCTAGTTTTTAAAAGGATAAAATTGGAATTTAAATTATTTTTAGGGCATTTTTGTGTGTTTATTTGATTTTGTGTTTAATTATTTTTTATTTGATTTAAATGATTAGTTATTGTGTTGGAATGTTTAATTGGTTAATTGAATTCTTTATTCTAATTGAATTATATACTTAAGAGGCCTTTGAAATGTTTAATTAAATGCATTGTTTTATTTATTTATTTTTAAAACAAGGTTGGGCTTGGTTAGGATTCACGAACTTTTGGATAGTGTAAATGGGTACAATATTTACCCATGGAAGTATATACATGTATATATGGGTATATATGTATATGTGGATTAGGTTAATAATTAGTAATTAGTATTAATTAATTTATAATATTACTGTCACTTAAGGTGTATTATAAATTCTAGGGTTTTAAATCGTATAACAAAATTGGCCGACTAGGGTTTAGTTGTGATTCCATCTCTGAATATAAGTAGACGTAGGTTTTATATATGCCTATAAATATACTGTGATAATTTTGCAAGGGCTTTTTTAAAACCCTATTCATATATAGAGACATAGAGAAACAGAGAGGGTATTTTGTGGAAGAGAGAGAGAGAGTTTCGTTAGGATTTCCGTTATGGATTAAAGGTTGGACCAAGGAGAAAGGACTGAGTTGCTCGTGGGGTTAAACCAAGAGTGGTAGAGGAGATTCAACGGCAACTAAGGTCGTCGGAAAACCTAGAAAGAAGACGATATTGAAAGGTTTCAAACCGAAACCAAAAGGCAAGTTCTATTCTGTCTCTCTCCCTTTGCCCGTGTTCTGTGCATCCTTTGATGATCTCTAGGATTGTATTTGAATTTTAATTGAATCTTACATGCTTGGAATATGTTAATTAGATCATCTGTAGATGTGCATATTGTCTGAAAACAATTCTTGCAACTCTGTTCTTCGTTGTTTGTTTCAAAGTATTAAATTGGTCATTGTTTTATATCACTATATTAACTTGTACTGTGGTAAATTAAGGATTGGGGATTAACATTGTATATATATTAGACAGTGAGGACAAGTTTTAAGGAAGAACAGAGGGGTAGGAAAGGGCCGGAGACGAGGCAGATGGTCGGAAACGAAAAGGGAACAAAGTCGAGGCTCTCAAAAGGGAGAGAGCCGGCTCTCCCATGGAGAGAGCCGGCTCTAGGCAAGGAGAGCCGGCTCCCCCTTGTAGGAGAGCCGGCTCTAGGCAGATTGAGCCTTCTCTACTATTTTGGAGAAAGCTCTGTGATTCTATTTGTTTACAGAAGCAGTTTTGTGCGTTGTTTGGTTCAATTGTGGATTTTTGGGTGCACTGTGTGGACGATTCTTGAGTATGGAATTGTGTGGGAAGTAGACTAATATGATTAACATGCAATCTATGTATTGTTATAAGCTTTCAGTGCATAAGAGATGCAATTATGCAGGTGGAATATGAAGCAAATGAGAAGGCTCAAAGGGAGAAAGAGAAGGCTCTAAAATGTGGAGCCTGCTCTAGGTGATTTAGAGCCTTCTCTAGTTTTTTAGAGAAGGCTCTAGGTGGTTTAGAGCATTCTCTAGTTTTTTGGAGAAGGCTTTTTTCAATAGTGTTCTCCGAATTTTTTTTTTTTTTTACGAACAGTTTATTTACTGTTGGAGCATGGGAACTATTCTGTTGACTCTGGGGTTTTACAGAGGGTCTAAATGGTTAATTTTAAGTGTTATTAAACTTATTATTGCATTGTTTAAGTTTCTATGATAAAGGATGAAGCAGTGTAAAAATCTACAACTGTGCATGCTATTAACAGAAGAAAGGAACTGAGTGGCTTGTTTAAATTTCAGAAATTTAATGGGACTTCACAGAGGGGTTAAATATTTAATTTTGGGTGTGATTAAAACCTTGAACTGATTAAAGTTGATTTCTAAATCAATGGGACAAACAATATAAAATTAATGAACTTTCTATGCTGTTAACGGATGGAAGACGGATTAATTGCTTAATTAAATTTTAGCAATTTGATCGGATTTAGCATGATTATAAAACTTATTTAAAATGCATGAGAATGTCATTTAATTATTAGTTCTGATCTATGCATGCTCGGGATGCTATTTGTTGAATTATTAAATCGGTTCCTGCAACTATATGGTTATAAGCTTGGATTTGAAATGCTGAATGTTAAACACAGTTCTGCAATTATTTGAATATTGGTTTGGACTGTGAATTGCTAAACTTTAATTTATATGTTGTAATTTACATGGTTTTGGATGTTAATTGTGAAATGGTATATATTATTCTACAATTAACTGGATGATGGTTTTGAATTGAAATTGCTGAAGTATTATATGAACTATTCTGCAATTACCTGGCTTTTGGTTTTGGATATTAAATTGCTGTACTATTTATCATAGTCTGTAATTTTTACATGGTTTTGGATTTTAATTGCTGGATTAATATATATTCTGTCAATTACATGGATATGGAGGATTGTATGCACCGGTATGGGACGGTGTCATACTAGGGATGGTTTAACTCAAAATGCATAAACCTAACCTATTGGATTAAAGGAAAGGATTGTAAAATATTGAATCCTAATTTTGTTTAAGTCAGATCAACTAAGTAAGTTGAATGACCATTTGGATTTACTGTTGTTTGGAGTTAACTCATATCAACTGAATAAGTTGAGTGGTTAATTGATTATACGTCTTATGTCAGATCAACAAAGAAATTGAATGACATACTCTGGTTTGGACGGATTTTAAATATATGATTATGGTACCGCGAGATGAGCTTGAGTTTCAGACTCGTTGGTTAGAGTGCGTATATGCAGTGGATGCGTAACTGGTTATAGTAGGTTGAGGTGTATCCTGTTAGGTCTAGGTACTCATGCCCACATTTGGGTGCGTTTTTGCATGTTACCTTCTATTCAGGTTGAGACCCCTACATAGTCCAGTGAATGTCCCTTAGTGTGGATATTTATATATGTATGGACTAGATAGCTATTGCTGAGATATCTAGGGTGTATCTACGTATCGGGTCACTGTCTGGATTGCAGTTAGGATAAAACTTGCATGTGGGCCTGACTCACTCTTATTTTTACAGGTGTTCGTCAGTTCCAGGCTTAGAGCTTAATCGTGCTGAGCAGATACAGTTATTCACTCCACCGACGACGTAGGAATATTTTCTTCTCATTATGATCATTGGTTTTCTTTACAGTTGTTCATGTTCAGTATTGAAATATTTTTAGTATGGGTCCACGAGATGGATTCCCGAGTTGTATTAGAAGTAAAGGAGAAGTTGGTGTATTCAAACTAGTTCTTGCATATAAAGTTTATTCGGAGGTTTTTTTCCATTAAAGGATTTTCATTTTAGTTCTTTCAGCAAAATTTTATTCATTCCTGTTTCCTATATTGTATTCTGTGTTCGTTAAATTGTTAATTGATTTGATATCCTCGGGTTATCGGGCGTGGGCCTGGCTAACCCGCATCCGAAAATCCGGGGGTATCACATTTTGGTGGCTCATCTTAACTGGAACAGATTTGTCAATTGGGCATCCCAACACCGAAGCTCTCGAAACTTGAGAAATTCGATCAACAAAATCGCTCTGTCCACTACTATAAACCAGATCTGGAATGAACGCAACAATCGGGTTTTCAAGAATCAAAGAAGTTCTTAATCAAGGGTTTTGAATCAAACAATGAACATGGTGAAACAACGATTGATTTCCATGCGGATTAAAGACTCTGCAGCGGCTCGGAGAATCATCCTCGACTGGGATTTACCCCAGTCCATCATCAGGCCACCGCCGGAGCCGGATTGAAGGTCTGAGACTCGGCCTCTTGCTTGGAATCATCGGATGCACATGATAGACTGAGACAACGTTAGGCTAAAGCTTACTTTAGCATATATTTGTCTTAGGGCAACTGTTGGATTGGGCTTGGCTTTGGGCTGCCTTTTCTGGGATAGAATGGGCTCTATGCAGCTTATCTGTTTTTGTTTCGGCTTTGCCTTGTATATCTCTTCTTTTCAATTCAAAAATAAAAAATAAAAAAAAAATAATAGTCACCATTTCTTCCATAACGATGAGTAGTAAATATCTAGGGATGGACGTCAGTGTTGCACTAAATTAGGAACCCTCAAATATATATATATATATGTTCACTCTATTAAAAGTGGGGGCTAATGATGAAATGACATATAAGAGCAGTTATCAAGTCAATTCAGTTAGGTAAATGCACTATCCTCACTAATCAATTGATTGAGCACGCCATCAGTATCTTCTTCATAATTATTACTAATTTCATCCAATTTCTGGGCCCCATTAACAGTACAAC